AAAAAACGATTCTTATAATATAAATAAAAACACATTGGATGCCTCAAAATAAGCCTTTCAATTTCTGTGTATGAAATGAGTGAGCAGAAATTCATTCAGTACTTAAGAGACCTAGAATTGCATTGGCAGATAGCATGGAGGGTATGCTTTGTTAATCTAAACCTCCTTGATAATTACATGTATACTTTTTAAAAATTACAATGGTGATAGTCTCTAAAAACTTCTTTAGGGCAGGTCTATCATGACTTATTATTATATCCAAGAACCTTAGTAAAATGGCAGGAAGATAGATACTCAATAAATATTTATATAACTAAATTGTTGAAGTTCTTGGGTTAAAAACACAATATTAGGATCTGAAGGTGCAGAAATGATTTTGCATAATTTCCATTAGATAAAAAAAATGAGACCACGTACTCAGCCCTCCCCACTGAGACCTACCCAAAGCTGAAAATCACTGCTTTAAAGAAATCACACACAATAATAAAGGACCACATGCATGTGTCTTACCATATTTAAATATCAGAGCCTTTTAACTATTAAAAATGAAAATATTTAATAAATTAGTAAGACGAAGTCATCTGCTTAGTCAATGAAGATATTGTGTATTTTATGAATCCATCAATAACCTTTATAATAATATAAGTTTACTACATTCATCTGCAGTGACCTTTAAGAGTAATTTAAAATAGGACAGGTGTACTTACTATAGTCTGTGTATGGTGATCTCTACCCCTGGAGAGTTAAAAAGAAGGCTAAGAGAAAGTTTTAGATGAATTTGATATTCGCCTATCTTTGGTGGGCAACTGGGCCAAGTGGCTTTGAAGTCCTTTCGTAGCACTATGGATTTTAAGTAAAGTGACCTAACAATTCTTTGACTAGATATGAGGGTACTTCAAAAAGTTCATGAAAATATTTGTATTGTCTTTTAATTCTGTTTTTCCATGAACTTTTAGAAGTACACTAGAATTTGTAACGTTTCTTTAACAAATGGTTCAAGAATTTAAAATCACATTTAGACATGTTTAATCAGTATATGAAAACATACTTCTTTTGTTCCTTTAAGATTCAAGCCTTCATGCCAATCTGGTCCCAAGGCACTGCCTACATTATCAGCTTTAGCTTTGGTTCTTGATTCCTTTTTCTTTCCTGAAGAGATGAAGTCAAATTATATAAAAATTGCCAGGCAGAAAACTATGACTTTAGGCAATGTAATGATTCTCTTACATACCTACATACGTATAGCACAACTAAACTAAGTTATCTATATTAATAATTTTATAGAATTATTAAATGGATCATCTTTCAATAGTGTGGATTACAAAAACTTATCATATCTTTTGGATGTTACATACACTGGTTAACTTGAAGAGTAGGAAAATTAGCCATCAAATTTTCAAAATTTTGTCAATTTGTAGCACCTCAAAACATACAAAATTCTTTTTGAATTTATAAGACAAAAGTTTAAGAACAGTGAGGTTTATATAAGTTTTTAAATTCACTGCATTTTTTACGATATTACCTTAGGTGCTAACCAATTGTAGCATCTGTTTGCAAAGATGCAGATGGGCTCATTTACTTAATTCACTTTAAACATTCTCTTTTAATTATATGTGTGTTTGTGGTGTGCGCATGCGCATGCACACATGCACTCTAGAATATCTGAAAACTCCATGTAAAAATTTAGAAATGTTACCCGTATTTCTATCTCCCAAATATATTTTACTAAATTTTTTTACAGCCCTTTTATATGTGGTTAAAAAAAAAAGTTTCATCTGAGAATTAATGAGTTAGACGTATTTACTTTCAGCTGTGTATCGGGTTCTTTTCTGTGCAATGTTAGCCTCTGATTTTTCAGCAACGAGCTTTGAAGTCAAGAATTCAGCTGCTCCTGCATCGAAGAAAGTATTCCCAATGGCTTTATCTTTAATGGCCCAAATCACTTCACAGCCTTCGATTTCATATCTAAAAGGAATATTAAGGTTACTTACAGTAATTTCAAAAGTTTAAGTAAAAACCTTTGTACCCAAAGATAACAATTATCTTCTAAAGCAAAAGTAAAGAACATATTTTAAGGCAAATTGGGAAAGACTGATTATAGAGAGGAATGTAACATTCTTTAAGGATATGGGTTAAAAATAGAAAAGTTAGTAAAAAATTTTAACCTGTAAGTGAAAAGAAAGAACCTGTAGGTGACAAATGTATGTACTGAATATCAAGTAAAATTTCATTATAGTAAGTATTATTTAAAAGTGCTCAATTTCTATAACATATTTGTTATATGTATGTCCCCCATGGTTCTCAGGAGTAAGCAGTGCTTTATTTGGTTATGGTATAATCAATGATGGATGGATGTTATATAGCTGCAATACAGAGAATAGTTAATTTCTTTGGTATTAAACTTTTTATATACTCAAAGTACCACATATGGAAGGGGATAGAAAAAGGAGAGGAATTATTTGTAAGCTAAAATCTTAACTTTTTAATAAAAGAAATATTGCCAAACATTTAATTCCCCTTCATTTCAAAAATTCCCAAACCACCCAGTCAAGCCATTGGGGGTGGGGTGTGTGTGTGTGTGTGTGTGTGCGTGCGTGTTTGTGTGTGTGTGTGTTACTTTTCACAAGCTAGCCAAAGCTTTTAGGCATCTGATGTTCAATTTCCAGGTTGGGACACTGAGATGTGGTTTTCTTAATAATATTCATTTCACAAAGTCCCTGAAATCAACTGTAATTAAGGTGATCACAATTTATCATCCAACACAAGATACTGTCTACTATTAATAATTGCTTTGGTACAGCTGGTGTAAATGGGGACAATCCTAGACAAACAGGATATATGGCCATCCTAACTAAATAGGATTTTATTTGAATTCACAACTGTAATAAGAATATTGTGTATTAATGTATTAATTTTTAACTTTTTTATGGTACAAAGTATTGCCATCTTTATTTCACAGACTGATATAATGTAACATAGTTAGGTTGTATGACTTTTTGAGACTAATCAATCAACAGAGATAGAACAAAGAAAGTGTAGTACATCTGTCTCCAGGTTACCTGATATTTATGCTTTTCAACATATGGTAAGGGAGCCCTTGCCACATCCAATTAGCCTTTATTTTTCCTGCTCTCCTACACCAGCAAACATTTGTAGTCACTAACTTTCAGTTTATGGGGAGAACATTCTATTTGATGCTTCTCAGGTCATATAGCACTGCTGATTAGCGAAACCAGAATGTACACACATTTGGTAATAAATTTTATATTTGTTTATATATAGCCATATAGTTATCATGAAATGCTTTC